GAATTTTTGAACTTGAATGTTGACTTTTTTACAGATCATTGAATTTGTAAGAGTTAAAATAATATTTAAAGTGTTAGTACTAAAAAAGTTTTAGATTTTTTCTCCATACTGCTCTTCATAAATACTTAAACAAAATCATAATTATAATTTAATAATAATTAATGCCACGAAATGATTGTTCACCAAATTGAGGCAAGCAAATTAAGTAATTAAGTATTTACAAAAACAAAAAAAAACTGACCCCTTCTCTCAGCATTTTATTTATCTCATATCGTATTCCTTGATGTAATACTGATATTTGCTGCAGAAGTATTGATAACATTGTGAGTACAGCAAATCCTTACTTTATTCTTCGTACATGAACTGACCTATCTGAAATATTACTTGTATAAGATTATTATTAGGTTATATATTTTAGAATAACGAGTACTGAATTTTGATATCACTTGTGATAACAGCTTATCTATCTTTTCAGGCACTTAGACTTGAAAAGTAAGCATGAGGAAAGCATCGCTAATTCAAAAAATAACACAAAAGTAACAGGCATTTAGAATGCTAAATAAAATTAAACGTAGCGAAAATTTTTAAATTTCAGTATATAATATGAAATATTTTGGTAAATGTTTGTTAACGTGAAGAAAAAATAATAATTTCACGGGAAAAAAACACGTATAGCAGCCAAGTTTCAAGCTTTTCCACTTAATCCATCTAGAAATAGCGTGAAATAAATTATCAATTGTTAACAGCACCAACTAGAAAATAATCAATATTAGTTGAAGTGCAAAGTTCATCGAACTTTAAAATTAGCATATTGCGTCATTTCATTTGCGTGAATATACTTGAGATTGTCAAAAAAACTACTAGCATTCAAAACATCAAAATATGAAAAAACTAAGCTTGCTAGCTAGCTAGAGATTAAGAACTTATTAAAGCTTGCAAAAGAATTTATTTTACTGACGTGGCGTAAGACATATAAGTAAGTCCAATTATAAAAAGTGATCTGAATAAATTTTTTCTTTCCAAATGTTTAATTATCGCTCATTGCATAAAGTAAAAGGTGCAAAGTTCCAGAATTAATTAACAGGATCATTTACCTACACGTATACGCCATTTATCTATTTATCTATTTCATGAGATCATTTTCATAAGAGTGTGCGCAGATTTAGGCATTATATGGATATTATTTTCTTATCTCATTTTTTTAAATGCACTTTTTCATTTTGTCTATTTATTCAGCGCAATTGTCTAACTTCACGTCAAATTATTCTAAATTGATTTGAGCTATGCGAATTAGACGAGTTTAATTCGCAGCTTTTAAGTATGAATCTGAAACTAAACGAACTTGAAGTCAACAACTTTATCACATTGCAATCATTTTCAGTATTATATTAGACTTCATTAAAAAGCATTAAAAAGATCAATAAAACTTCAATCTGACTGCTAAGTACTCAGTTATTGAGTAATTACTTACAGATTAGAAAGTATGATTAGAATTGGTGTACTCAAAATCAAACAATACAATTCTAATTTTCAAATTTCGTGTTTTTCATTGTAATTAATAATTTTTTTTCCGTTTTTTGAATAAAATTAGGCTGCTTTTTCCTCTTCACAGATTTAAATCAGAAATGTTACTTAGTACTTCACTGATTTATTATGAATTTCATGCAAAGTATTGCTTTAATCCTGAAACTTGCGCGATTTCAAAGTAAGAAATTTTTGAATACTTTGCGTTAAGTATTAGTAAAATATAACACTAATTGGTGGATTCTTTGCTTTTTACTATTACTGTTAATTATTTAATCTGAATGTTATTTAATCAAATAGTATCTCCAAGTAATACAATTGTAATACACTGATCAATCAATATTGTTATGGTTGATTGTTAAAAGTAAAGTATGCACCAGATAAGTTTAGAATTATTGAATTGGTGGTTGAAAGGCCGGAACTTTCAGAAATGATTACTGTCAGCAAACTTTGTGCGGTTTTTACAGTTTTTTCCTCAGTTCCTTTATAGGATCTATATTTAGAGTATGTTTTCAAATCTGTTATACATTTGAAAATCTCAAATGTTGTCTTCTAGTTTGTAATCGATTAAAAAAAAAATTTCCATAAAGAATAAATAAAAAATAAAAATAAATAAAATAATAATAAATGAAAAATTTTGAATGCTAGCAAACAGTAAATTGTTAACACACTTTTGAATTCACTGAAAACGATCATACTTTATTAACCTATAAATTATACTTAACTTATTTGTTTAGTTTTAGAATACAAAAAAGTTTACGCTAAATGCAATAACAACACGTAGCGTATAGTTTATGGCTACAGTAATGAATTCTGTGCATTAGCTAAAATTGATTGGAAGTCGAAAACTAGTATAAATATACAAAATTTATTTTAAATGCTTTACAAGGAAAAAGATAAACAATAAATTGTGTAAAGTTTTAAAAAATTACAAAAAGTAGCTCAGTTATAAATTTCAGTAATTTACTGCTTCATAACTTTTCTGTTTCATAAAATTATTAAAAATCATAAATAAATAAGTAATCACTACTCAAAAGTTTATCATTTCATCAAGTGAGCCAGTTTTCAAGCGGTTGCTTAGTTCTGAGGTGAAGTTATGAGCAAGCGAACACCAGAAATTAATGATGGGGGCAGTACCGGTGATTCTACACATTTGCAATCAACTAAGAGAAGAGAATTGAAAGTACCATTTACTACCGGTTTATGGTATTTAATTATTTAATTCAAAAATGCGAAAATTTTAGAACGATATAAATATTCCATCTCCACCAAGTTATGCCGTATACGAAGATAAACATGGCAATTTGGTCAATCGAGCCTTGAATGTCAGTTTTTACAAATGATTTTGTCATATTTATGTTCTTGGTAGAGTAATCATAATCATCATAATCTATCAGCAACAGATCAATATATATATATATATATATATACAGATATATTTTGTATATATACTTATATATAAATGTTGCTGATAAAATTATTTGTAAAATTTAGTTAAAGAATTGATGAAATTCATTATTATATATATACAATAAACCTAGCGAAATATGAACAATAAATATTTTTGGATCAAATTGTTCCGCAATTTAAATTAATCTCAGATAATAATGTATTTAATATCAAAGAACTAGATTTTTCAGAGAAATAAAAAGATAAATTAAGCGGGAAAGTTTGAATTTTTTAAAGGTTATCTGGCCGACTCGTCCCTCCTACGGACGCTATTCAGTAGACCAATATATGCAGCGTAAACAGCATATGCAAGACCATAATCGAGAACGTAGTATGAGCCGACAATTAAGTAAAAAAAACGATTCCGACGTGTATTTTTTTAATTATTCGATATTTAATATTTCAGTTTTATAAATTTAAAATTTTGTTTACAATTAATGTTACGTGAATTTTTGAATTTTAGAAATAAAAAATCAAATAAGCGTAGACAGAAGTCGAAGCGAAAAAGTGATGAAAATATATTTGTCGGAGTTCGTCCGTCGTCTAGCTTACGCTCATTATTGAGACCGACGGAATTTCGATTATATTATATGCGACCTGAATCAATTAGTTCATTCAATCAGGTACTAACTAACGGAGATACTTAATCTCAATCTTTCAATGCTTCATTTTTAAGATCAGTACAGTTAAATGAGAGTTATTACTAGTATTTAAGTCTTAATTTTAAATTAGTAGCAATAAATCTTTGTAAAAATCGAAAAAAATTTGTTCATACAGCAAAAAGCAACATGTATTTTACAGTATTTTTACATGATAAATACTGAGGATTTAATGGTTGTGACTTTTTGATCTTTACTGAGTAAAAGTATTGATTTACCCGAAATAGAAACTTTATTTTGGTAATATTTAAGAATTTATTGAGATATAGCATGTTGGAAGTACCGTTAAATTAAATTAATGAAATATTGATTTTTTCCGATGAATATTGATATTTCAGATGCCTATAAGAATGCCATTAATGCTTGCATATATGAGTTCATCTGGTACAATGCACAACTTTAGTTTCAAACAATACGAACATCATTCTGGACCATTTTGGCAACTGGTAGTAAATAATGCTGAGAACGATGAACCAATGTATTACTTCTATTTTCAGTAAAATTAATTGTGCAGTATTCAAATTATTAAATGATATCAGTATATATAATAAAAATTAGCAATATAATTAATAATTATTTTTTATGCATCTCACAAATGCAGCTAATTAGTTTCAGATTCCGTTCATTGTCGTCACTGATAAAACACTACAAATCATTTGCCATTGATAGTAGCGAGGGGAAGTGCGAGATTTTCCCACTGGAAAAATAAACTACCATAAATTTAATCCTTATTTTAAATTATACTAAATTTAATATAGCACAAATATTTGTAAATATTTTGATATAATTGTTATCAGAATGAATAATTTTTAAATTAAGCATATTTATTATGCATTTTAAAAGTTTCAAATAGCAAATTAGGATTAAAGAATATAAAAGAAATTTTTTAATGTGACATTTTTATTTATAAAATTGTGAAAAACTTGTAATTTGTAACAATTATATTTGTATTTCATAAATAAAAGTAATTATTATGACTGATTGTCTTAATATGTTAAACTTCTATGACGTATTATGGCATTACATCCAGAATCGTTGACCGAAGTTATGGTGCAAATATTGCAATTTAATCTTTCGTATTGGTTGAAAAAATTTAGCCTTCTGAAGGATGACATCAAATATGAAGGCCAAATTTGAAGGATAATTGATGTTATCCTTCAGAAGGCTAAATTTGAAGGATAACTGACGAACTTCATTTTTTATTGACTGGTGCACCAGTTAGAGGATTTATCATGACACTTGCAGTCGGTATAGGATCAGGTTCATTAACCGTGAGACCATTTGCATATTTGAACTGACAGTGAATACGTTTCACTCCTTCAGGTCGATATGTTTCAAGCATTTCTCTTGGAGTTTTTGCACAAATGCTCTATAATTTGCATAAGTCTTGACAATTCTATCAATTAAATCTCCCATGATTGGTTACTTAAATACGGCAAATAACTTCCTTACACGTTGGCTTATATAACTTCTAAGAATTACTTAAGCAAGAAGTAATCGTTTTAAAAAGATTTTATGATCTAAAGAAGTAGACATTAAAATTTTACATTTTCAACATGAACGTGATAAAATGAAATGAAGTGCACATCATCTCTGGGTACTTTTTTCCACTTGAATGTTACACGGATATTCTAAAATTTCAAATAAGCATTTAAATATTCTAAATTTCAAATATAAATCTCAAATATGAAATGCTTATATATTTTTAAATTATATACCGTGAAGTTATCAGTTTTTTGTAAATAAAATTTGAAGTTATCTACGACTATTAAAGAAATTAAACTAAATTTGTTTGGTTAAAAATAATGCTAACGTCCAAACCTTTTTTTCGTTCGATGCAATGACACCATTTGATGGTCTAATTGTGAACATATAGTTTGCAGTGCATTTCACCTGTGTACAAGTATTTACCTTGATTTAAATTGTGCATATTCCAAGTAAAGTTAGTAGATTAGATTTTGACATTTTAATATTTAGCAGTATATTCTTTAGATTTTAAAGTCGCAGTTGTACTTAATTTTTCTTCATAATTTAAAGACAAACTAGTTACGTGTAGGCTTATTCATTCACATTTTTATTATTGTTATTATTATTATTATCATTATCATTATTGTCATTATCAATATTGTCATTATTATTATTAGCATTCCTGTTGTCGTTAATATTACTGCCTTTACATTCTGATCATTGATGCTATAAAATGTGCTTCATTTTTTTAAATAGTTAAAAAATTATATCAACTTTGAATTCATTTTTCTCAGTTAAATATTATTTGTAAAAAAACCACTGCAATTATACTCAATTCTATACCTACTTTTATTCAATTTGTATTTATATAAATACAAATGTAATATTGGTATTTGGTCTATATAAATCCAAAAATAATTAAGCCAACGATATATAAGACAAATAATATATGAGTATACGTTGGTTTGACCAATATGCACCAATATATATATATATATATATATATGTACACTCAGTCAAATCAAAGTTTTTGCTTATATTAACCAAACCTTAAATGCTTGCATCCACGGTGTGTCATTATGCATTATAATGTTTACTCCCAAAGGTTCAATGCCTATATTTTCTCCCCTGAAAAGCATTTTGCAAATTAATGTCTGTGAAAAAAATTATAAATCATGCCTCAGTGGGAACCACCTATTTTTCAATTTTCTGAAGAAAATTACTTTGAATGATAATCTGAATGAAAAATAATTTGCATAAAGACTAATTGCAGCAAGTCAGTATACCAAGCATAGTCGTCGTACTAATTGACTCATTCGAAGATTTGAAAATTCAAAAATTATTCTACCAATTATTTGAATTTAAGTCTTAAGGAACAGATCTAGTTCTCAAATTTACCCAAGCAATGAATACAAAATTTCACATGAAAAGATTTTATGATTTTTGAAACAATTTTCTTATGATCATTGATATGGATGGGAATTTTATGAACAACGTAAATCTCAATTCCAAAAAATGTAGATCCAATTTTCAATCACGATCCAAATTTACATTCTGCATTATTATTATTATATAGACTAAATTTTTGCTTATCAAAATGCTACTTTTTTCCATACATTTGACTCTTGACCTACACATTATGATATACTCCACTATCGTACATTTGATATTTGATCTACACGTTGTGATACAATCTACTGCCGTTGAATCTTCAAGTTGTACTGTCAAACAGAAATTTAAAAAAATCATTCTTTGCTTTTGTGTCAAATCTTTTACTCATTTTTATTTACATGAAAATGATTTTAGTCTCCGGAAGCAGAGTCATCTGGAATTCATCCTCGTCCGGTGTATGATCAATCGCTTTACGTCCGACTGTCGTTGTAGCCGAAACTGTCGTATCCGTCATGTCTATTATTATCACTATTATTTAGTAAAGGTTTCCGTTTTAAAATTATGTACACGTTTTGGCCAAAAATCAAATGAATATAATCAGGAATCCAAAAGCTATTAACTAACATTTGGCGGTAAATTTTTGACAGTTATTTGAGGAATAAGTGATGCAAAGCACTTTATTAACTGATGTCAAAGCTTTCCAATCATAATTCTATTTATATATTTTTATAATATTAATTACATGGATTTCTACAGACCTGATTGTTAACCGCCTTATTTTGAGCTTCAAAACTTATCTACTAATAATTCAACAAGACAGATTAACTCACCGCTTTGTAAGACGTATTAATAATAAAATAACATTTGCAGACATGGAAGTTTATTTTATAACTTTACTTCTATTACTTATAATCTACAATTATTCTCATATTATGTACTAATTAACTTGCGAATACACTTTCTTCCAGAAAATAACAAATGATAATGTCAGACTTGAGAGTTTATATTTATTCTGTACCTTTTTGGCAACAAATTATAATGCCATATTTACTACTTTTAAAACAACTGTTATTTTTTAATATTTCAATTACTTGGCATATAATTCAAGCCACCTTCTAATCTTCTAGCTCTTATGATATAAAATATCTGGGAAGAATCAATTAGAATAAAGAAGTACAAAGAAAATATAGACTCTCAAATCTGACACAAGCCATCCAAGTACTGACTTCAATTTGTTGAATTATATTACTTAAATCCATTATTTCAAGGTCTTTGGGAAAACATTTGAGTCCAAGGATTCAATAAAATCTACTTCAGTCTGACAGTTTCATTAGTTTAATAAAGTGGATTTCTCGACCACAAGAAGGATCTTCACCTTTCGCTAGGTGAAGATCCTTCCTGTGGTCGAGAAAAACTAAGATTCTTACTTCCGCCGACAACACACTTCAACTAGTTCTTACTAGCATGTAAGTTTTCGCCGTACAAAGCACCGCAAGCTGAGAAAAGTTTCAGATAAGCTTGTGCTTTCACTAAATTATTAAGGATTAAGATTCACTCGATTACCTAATTAGTATATAAATACTGATATGAATCTAGCTTTATTGATTTCTACTGACTTTCACAAACGATAATGAATTCAAATGCCATTTATTCAACAACAAAATGCAATCCCAAGAAATGTTTACAATTCCATCTCGTCGTTCCTTAATTTAAACATGATCAGTGTCAGAGTACTGACCTATTTCCATTGCTTAGTATTTCTACAAGCTGAGACAATGAAATACTGCCCTTAACATTTTAACTGCTACGTCATTGGAAGGAATAAAAATAGCAGACGCTAATCAATAAAATCGCTATCTCAAAACAAATATGTGCTTAAATTTTTGTTTTATTTCAGTTAATATATTCGAACAAGAAAAATACGAAGGCTGATGATGCATTCTTCCCATTATGCTAAGTAATACCATAAATAACACAAAACAATAAACAAATACAATTCACATTTCATGTTACGAAGTATGAAAGTATCGAAAAGTACACAGGACATGACTGAGTAATCAAAAAATAATAATAATTAAAAGCGACCTATTACAAAGATGAACTAGAACCCGCATTCTTAAAATTTTGATGAACAGATAGATCAATGAATGGCTCAATAAGTAAATAGTATTAAAAAACTATAAAGCAAAATCTTTGATTAAAGCCCACATTAAAATATTGTAGTGATGCATATTTGACAAAACAGAGATTCTGTACACTGGATTTCAATAAAAGTATAGTTTTTATTCAAGTCATTTATTGGACAGTCATTTTGAACAAAAAAATTACTTTTTCAAAAACATATTAGTGAAAAAATTATAAAATGAAATCCGCGATAAGTGGAATATGATCTGAAGGAGTAACTGAATTCGGCCATGGTCCTAAAGTACCAACCAGCTGATTTATATGCGGTAGAGACAGACGTCGGATGAGCTTCAATCCATTTGCAGAAGCATGCTGAGTCAAAGAGATTAAGCAAAAAAATAAGCTATAATAATGTTTATCATGCCAAATAACAATCCTACTGACTAAAAGCAAATTAAATGCCAGCTGGTTTGCCCACAACTTATTATATTTTTAAATAAACTAACCTTTAAACTTTTAGACCCGACGGAATAAAATATGAAATCAGGATTAGCCCATTCTACACTATGATAAGTAGAGACTGTTTGCTAAAAATAAGGATGAAACTGTCAATGAGTCTAATTCTTTTAAACAACATAAAAGATAGTGATGATATTTTTGATTACTTTAACTTGAACTACTTTGTTGACTCGAAAAATAATTTTTTATCCAAAACCTTGAATTTTTTAAAAACAGTGTAAAAAATAAACTTTTGACCTTCATGCCTTTGTCAGCTTGCTGATACACGCTATCAAAATTCAGAGGATGACTCCAACAATTTTCTGGAGGAAATTTCATGGTGCGACCTAAAAACTACGGAAAGAAAGAGAATGCATTACGAATGCCAAAAATTTAATCAAAGGTTCTGATTTCGAGAGATTAAATTTTTTAAATACATTGCACACTAAGAGTGTCAAATCTGACTCCGACCTCAAATAAATTTGATCCATCTTCTCCGTACAAAATTTATATTCGTACTATAGACATAACTTGAAATCAGAAAAATGTACATTATTGATTTTAGAGAAATAAATGCTTAGAAAGACAGCAATGTTCAGTAATGAAGACCAAATAATAAACAAACTTACTATGCAAATCTTTAAATCGACAGTTTCTCGCAATTTTTATATCTTCAGGTAATAGATTAACTGAAACAAAAGGTCCACCAGTGCTGCCTTGACCAGAAACATCACCTTGGCGAAGATTAGCAAAAGAAATCCCTCCTTTCATGATAAAGTTATACAATGGACTATGTGGCTCAATATTAAAATCACCACACAATATATAAGGACATTCTTTACCTGATTCTGGACCACATTCCTTAAATAGTTTCATCTCTAAAAGCTCTAATTCAATCATATTTGAAAAATATGCAATAAAACTTGACCAATTCTATTTTCTAACTTCTTCCTAATGTCATAATAGCTTTTGTTTTGTATGAGAAAAATCAGATCATGAAACCACTTCTGCTGATTTTCAAAAACACAGTTAGGGCAATGCCACACTTGTAAACAACAAAACAAAGACTTCGAACTTATTTTGCCGACTTGAAGTGAAATGCTGGAATCTGTCAGTTATATGATGAAAATACAAGGCTTTCTAAGTTTTACTTTGTACAGTAAAACTTCTTGATAAGAAACAGGAAAATTTAAGATGAAAAATTTTCTATAAGAACAGTAAAAACTACTTGAAAAAATTTACAACGATAATACTGTCGCAATTTGTAAACAGAAAAAAAATCATACTTTATCAATGTTGGCAAGTGAAATAGCAACTTGAGCAAGTTTAACATCTCCTCGCCACTTATTAAATAACAAATGCGTATTAAATATGCATAGATCCCGTTGAGTCCTCATATCTTTCAAACGAAACAACTGACCTAACAAAAACAGATTTTTTAATTACAGCCTTATTTCTATTCATTTGCGTTTTTATATCACTAAAATAACAGAACGAACAAAAGTTCAGAAACTATGCAAATAATTAAAACTAACCGACATTATCTCTATCTAGCACTGAGTTAACACCGAAATAATACTCTATATAATGGTAATGAAGCAACTGGATATAATTTTTGTAAAAAACAGCACAACCGTCAACCATTTCTCGCGTTCGTTTCTTGTATTTACCAAGATAACCTTCTATGAAAATATTCGATATATATGATGGGATTTCAGCACATTCAATAACAATTAAAAATAATTTATCCTCCAAGCGATTAGCGAGCAGTCAATAATTTTTCCAATTGCCAGTCACAATATTAATATACATATTTAAATGATCAAAGCTCTTTTATCATGACCCTTTTTTCATAGAAACATTACCAGTTTTGAAAAAAGGCTCGAAAAACTGATCGTAATGATCGAATTGCACTTCTTGCAAACAAAATATATCTGCATCAATCATTGAAAATTCACGTTTCAGTAATTCCCATCGATTTTCCCACATTAATTCATTTGCACGCTTTGATTTTCTATAAACAATGTGTACGCAGGGAATACTTTAAAAAGGCTTGATAATCTATATTTTACTTACATACTTATAAACACTATAAATATATCTACACACAAATGTTTAAACTTCTACTTACATGAGATGAGCGTATAGTTTCGGAGATTTAAGCGCGTTTTGCTGACAGAGTACATTATAGCTACAAATTCTAATTGGCACACCATCCATTACATTCTAAAAAAGCAATAACAAAGCAAAAAACTATGAAGTCACAATACCAAAACAATAGTTTCAAAACACTGATTAATAGAAAGTTCAATTTTTATCCACATCAACTTTGCGTCGACTAATGAACCAAAGAAATGAATATCAAAATATTTCTTAAACAGAAAGTTTCAATGAAATATCCTCTTTTGGAATCAAATATTCGCATCAATCATTGAAATCTATACTGACCTGTATAACATCCCAACGTCTTATCTTTTTTGATGCAAAAGAAGTCGACGAAATACCTGAAAATTTAGGCATACCTGAAAATAAAATGACAAAAGTACTGAGGAAACAAAACACTCTAGACGAAAACCACTTGAGCAAATCACTAGGCTTTTTTTCAAAACTACTCTCTGGAACGAAAAAACCAAAATAAAAACAAAAAACTATTTGAGATACTAAAAAAAGCTGCTCAAACGCAGCAAAAAAACAAAATAAATTTTTTATCATAATTATGAAGGTAAATAAGCAACCAATTGCGAAAAATTTTTCCCAATTCAAAATAATAATAATAATAGTAAAAACACATATTAGTAGCTAGAAATAGAACAGAAATAAATAAATCTAGATTAAAAATTGTTTTTAGAACAATCATTGCTGAATTTCGTAGCTTTTAATTTCTTGGACTTAAATGTTTTCAAAACACAAAGAAGCTCAAATCAGAAATTGGAAATCAAGACTCCTATCACTCAAAACACTGCCTGATATTACTCACTTTTGTTCAAATCTGTAAAGAGTTTCAAAAAAATGCCTAGCATCAAAATAAATATAGTCCAGTTGATACAAATAAGGGAAACAAGAGAGTGCTATAAATAAATCACTTAGTAATTATTATATGGTAATCACCAAATTTTCAAGTGATCAGAAAAATGAACTGATCGATTTTACACATTATTTTTTATTCTTGAGTTCTCCAAGCAGCAAAGCTCGAAAGTTTTAACAAACTTCACATGATAATTGAGAAGAGTTGTAATATTTTAACCGGATATGTCAATTTTAATGAGCAAAATAGTAGCACGTTCTTGAATACAATTTAGTTGTCGTTTTTGAATTTAAATTCATTTTTAGACCTAGTTAAGGAAAAACATTTACTAAAAAACATAATGAAACTTATGGTTTAAACTGAAAATTTAAGAAATAATCAACAAGCAAGTCAAAAAAAATGCAAACAACAAAATTTGAAAAACATAAACTGAAAAAAAATACACCAAATGTAAAAGAAAACTATCCACAGTGATGTCAATTTGTCTATTTAAAGTTTAAAAAATTTACTGCCATGACTAAATGAGGTAGAATTACTATAAAACCGGAAAAAAAAGTCGTTAAATCGAGCCTAAGGAACTCATGAATTTTGATCATATACGTGTAAAAAGCTAACAATTAATACCTTTAATTTACTGATAACCAACTACCAAAACAAACTTGGATTATGGAGTATTGGCACAGAAGGTAACATATCGTGAAATTGAGAAGAAAGAACTGACAAATTTGTGATATGATTGAGCGACCATATATTTCGATAAGCAGGGTAAATCATGAAATTTTCTACCTAAAACAATTTCTAATCTCTAATGAGAGGGAACAAAGAACTCAAAACAATAGCACTAAAGCAACTATAAAATTACAAGTTGAATAGAAGGCAATGAGCATAATTATTATTACAAATGCTTTTATAGGGGATTTATTTTGTAAACAAAACAGAATGAAATTAATGCTCAAATGGCAAATGCTAATGTAAATGTGAGCAAAATATCACCCAAGTTATCAAGCAGTAATGTCAGAACAATCAAAACTAAATTATTAGCTATCAAAAAATCAAAAATCATTAATCATACGATTTACTTCCGAAAAATTTCAAGGTCAATCAAAAAGTTTAGATTCTAAAAACATATTTTTTACAGTAACTGAAAGCTAATAATTAAATACTCATTATATTTCCGATTTCGTGATGAAATTTTAACGTAAAAA